TACGTCCGAGGGACGTCCTCCTCCCGGCAGAAGAAGAGCATGAGTGGCGTGGCGAATCATCGACGCGCCGCCAGGAAAACTAACAATTGGATTCCCTTTAATTCGAAAAACACACAGTGCCTACCGCTGAGTTCTTTCGGCCTCTCCGCTGCTCTGCGTGGCACTTTTTACCAAGGGCCCCTCGCCCCCTCCCGCAATGGAGGGCCCATTCAATCGTCCAGATAATCGGCCGCGAAAGGAGCGCATCGGCCCGCCATTGGAAGCGCGTCCGATTCGATTATTTCATTTCGGGACGTACACCGTACGTCGCCCCGTTTCCTCTGGAAACACATTTGATCAATCTAAATGGTCTTTTATCGAAAGGCAGTTTTCGGCTATCAAGACATGTGGCTTCTGGTCTCTCAGCTGCCTCCCTAATCCTATTTTAAATTACCATAAGGTGATATGAAAGGGTCATTCTATATATATAGAATAAAATGTGAAAAAAAAATATATATATATACGTATAAATGTCAAAGTATTGATAAAACTTTTCTCCAAACTGGGTGCACCGAATTATCTGAAACTTTAACACGTGATTATGGAGGCCATAAGGAAGAACGTGATGCTCGTGAAATTTCACTTTTCGAAGAAAAAAAAATGTCTTCTCTTGATTCTTGTCCGAGATAAATATAAAAGTTTTTTTTTTTCTTTCGAAAAATGAAATCTCACGAGCATCGCGTTCTTCCTTAGGGCCTCCATAATCTCGTGGTAAAATTTCAAATGATTCGGTACGCCCAATTTGGAGAAAAGTTTTATAAATATCTTAACTTTTTGGTACGTATATATGACACTTTCATATCACCTTAAGGCCCCCAAAAGTAAGGCCCCTCCGAAATGTCAGGCGACTTTTGTCTCGATAAAAAGGCCGGCATGGATGCTTTGCGGAGATTCTCGCGCGGGGGTGCGATTTCCCCGGGTCACGGCGGCCGACTTCAAGGCCCGGGGCCTCAAGGGCCCCGCATCTGATAGAGGCGTTGAAAACATTTAGAGGTTATGAGACCTCGGGCCCGCGGGAGATGGAATCTGGGGCCCGCCGCGACACGTCGCGTGTCGTCGTCCGCTCGCACACGCGCGCGGCATCGCTGATGGGCCCGGGCCCCGGGGACCGCGACGAATCTCGCATTCGTCCGGCATAATCTGGGCCCTCGAGGAGCCCCCGGGCCCCGGGGACGTCGAGAACGCCGGCCAACCTTCCTTGGGCCTTACGGGCCCAGATGCTACTCCCTCTTCGGGCCCTACTACCAGTCGAGCCACGTATAGGGGTCGCTGCGTTTCCTGACCCTCTCGCACGGGGCCCTATCCGGAATTCCTCGTACTTGGAAAGGAATTAGGTGCCACTCTCCCGGGAGCGCGTGATATGCTTATGAATAATTTATTAAACAAGGCCCATTTCGGAGTAAACGGGCCCCGACTGTGCTCGCGATCCACGCACTCCCGTAGGGGGCGTTTAAATCCCCGTGAGTCACCAATAACAGTTGTAATGTCTAGAATTCCCCGAAAATGACCATACACCTCCAGAAGTCCCAGGATGGAATTCACCTGGAGTCCTTCAAACCCCTCCAAAAATTCAGGGAGATCGGTTCACACCTGGGAACTCTCCTGGAATAAAGACATCTCTTGAGACTTTCGGGCCTTATTTCCTGGGACTTTGAAGAGAGTCCTTTAAGATCTCCAAAAAAATGGAGTTGAAATCAATTCGACAGGTGGCAGAGAAAATCGGCAGGATCTTCGCGAGCGCGAATAAAGAGGACCCTCTGGCCTAAAAGGAACCCCCTCGATGGAGCCCTTTGGAGCCCGATGGGGCCGTAGGGGCACATATACCAAGATACTAAAACAAATTCCTGCCACGGGAGGCTCCCAGCATCTCCCGCGGGAGACAAGAATCTCGGGCAGCCGGCCACTTCTCGAGGCGGCGCCTTTGATCTCGCTTTCCTCCACCTCCGCCCCGGTTTTCTCCGCTCCCTGGCCGAAAACCCCCGCAGGATTCATTCAGTTTTACTATTATTACGCATACCGTCACGCGTGCCTCTTTCAGCCCGCCGAGACGTTCCCTCCCCCCTTTATCCCTTTACAACCCTCCCCCTCTTCCAAGCCATCCATTAATGGGATGCGCTCTCAAGGGCACGCAACCTTCCATTCACCGACTACCAATTTGGGCCCTAGGGTCCCCTTTTTTTCTACCCCAAAAACTACCGTTAACTACTAAACCGAATTTATGGAATAATTCCCGGCTTATATGTACATTTAGCAACGTTAACAATATTCCAGGAACAAGGAGCGAGTTTTAGGGAGAAAATTCGAGGGCCTCAAAAATGGCGGCTGATAGAAGGCGTCCCCCTATGAATACTATTTATCGTGCCGTTTTATCCCCCGCGTGCGAAACGCTTTAAGTTGCGTTAGTTTCGCATTAGAAGCGTGACGTTATCCGCACTATTAATGGAACGGTCCCGAGAAAAGTGCGTGGTTTACTGCGAGATCGGCATGCGTTTCTCTTAACAGGACAATAGTGAAACACGGTTCGCCATTTTTGTTTCGCCTCTGTCGGGGAACGGAGTACAATACATAACACAACACATATCCTCATCGTACACATGTATATCACTTTATTCCACTTCGCTCTCCTATCTTATGCTCAAATATATGTATACATATATATATACCTTTTTTTATAAATAACCGGAATGGGGTCTAGAGGAATAATTACTTACAACTATGTACTATACACAACGTCGGCGAGTGCAATTCGGTTTACAACTATCTCGCCACCGGCACTGGTACTCGGGATCTCCCCTAAAAAGTCTCCGACTCTATGACACGGTCGTTACGGTAGAAAAATAATTTAATTAGTATATGTATATATATATTTATAAATTTATAGATTTATACGTAAACGGCGTTCCTAGGTGAGGAATACAGTGGGATCTCTTACGCGTGGACGAGGAGTGGGGATTTAGTAGGTCTGGCGAGGAGAGGGGACGAACTGGGCGGGGCCTTCCCCACTCCTTTCGCGATATTGAAGCTTATTTTGTAGCGTATAAAAGCTTCCACTGTATTTCGCCAAGGGCCCTGAAGAGTGCAACGGCAAGTGCAAGAACGGCACGAAATACGTTTCTTATCAAGCGTTTGCAGGGCACCTACACACGTTCGGTTAAAACTAATTACAAACGGCTTACGAACCAAATTCCTGCGAGTCTTATTAGCGTTCCACCTCGCCGATAGGTTAGCCTCGTGCAGTTCTCCTCACAGATTCGTAAATCTCACTCGGGAAATCGATTGTATCCATAGCGACGTAAGAGGACGCTCGCCTCTCGCGAGCGCGTCCACGTCGCCCAATAAATTAATCTAAAATCGAGTTTTCCGCTCGACCGGTGAGCGATGGAGCGAAATGCTTCAGATGAAACTTGTTCAGGATAATACTCCAAAGAAGTTTCATTCAGGACATTTTCGTCGCAAAGAAGGCGCGCCCGTAGAAATTGGCAGAGATCGCGGGTAAGGTGCATTACGTGACCCGGGCTCCACCGGTCTGAAATATTTACAAATGCCAGGTCCACATGACCTACGTCTCGAATTGTATCTAAAACTTCTTGGTTCCTACCCAACGTCATATAAAAAATTGCAAAATGTTGATTAACCCCCGCTGGGACGTGCATTTTATGTACAGTTACTGGGATTCGAGTACGCGAGGTTAGCGAGGAGACCCGCGCGTATAAAATTCCCTATCCTTGCGTCAGACAACGTCGAGGATGAAATTGGCCTTTACAAAAGTTGTCGAGGGTGGGACTGGGAGCAACTTTTGTCTGACACGTTTTTCGATAGCTTGCGTGGTTTAAGGAGAAATGAACCGCGAAGAGGGTGCCGTTTCTATTTACAAATGGCTGATCAACCGGAACTGCCCCCGAGTGGTGCCAACCTCCCGTCCGGCCTCGTGCAGGCCGTCGCAAATTATTAATTTACCACTCGGCGCTACGCTTTATTTACAACGACGTTCGCGCCTCGCGAGCGCGCCCACGGCGTTAAATAAATAAATGTCAATGATACTCGCGCGTACTCTCGAGGTCCGGCGCGCGTTAGACACAGCGGCAGAGAGAGGCGTGGCCGGACAGCAAAGGCAATTAGTATGTCAGTGACAGATGGACATTTAGACGTCGAACGAGGGAGCGAGAGAGAGAAAGAGATTTACGGGGGAAACGAGAGCGACGGCCCGAGGGAGAGGGACGGAGCGACGTTAAAGCTCATATTTACAGATTAGCAAAGCCACCTACGTGCGTCGCGGTTTGACACGTCGACGCCTATCGGCGCAAATTTGTTAAACGGTTAATTGCACGCCTAGAGACCGTGACTCGGTCATTCCGAGCGCCCCCGTGGGTCTGATCAATAAATAACTAATCGGTTCACGTTAATACTGGGCATGGTCGACCAGGAGAGGCAGAGACGCCGCCGAATTCCCGGCCTCTCCCGAGAACTACGGCGCAAGTTCCAGGAATTCCCTCCAGGGTCTGCACGAGGTCTCTTCTAGGATTCGCACTCTCCATAAATCGAGAAACCGGGGAATATTAGTTAGTGAAGCCACCTAAATCCCCCTGAACTCCACAATCTATGACGTACACACACCGTGTGGTTCCCTGGGATAGGTGCTACCTACCACCTTCTGGACCCTATAAATAAATGCACACCTTCTCTCGCCTTTTTTAAAGCGTCCCTAGGAATTGGAGGTCTAGGACTCCCATCGCGAAGTGTCACCGAGAAGTTCACATTCACCCGCTCCATGTATGAGGTCCTTGTATCTGGGTTTTCGCAGGCAATTGTGTGTACGAGCTTCTTGGTCTCACAGAATCGGTATTTGGCCTCGCAGGACCAATGAAAGGTTCGAACACACCTCGATGACGAGGACCTCCTAGGTCCTGCAGTTTGGCATCGTGACATGATCCCTGTTCAGCTGGTGTCTTAACACAAGGTCCTTACAAACACGTGTGTATGGTCTTCTTGGTCCTGCAGAGCTGGCACTTGACCTCACAGCACCAGTGGAAGGTGCAGGCGCACCTCTCGACGACGATGACCTCCTGGGTCCTGTAGCCGCGACCGCAGCACATGAGGTCGCAGCCATCGACCCCAATGCTGGTGTCGTTGCACTGCCTGCCATGGGTGCCCAGGATGCCGAGCTTGGGGTTCTTCTCGCAGAACGGCGGCGAGGTCTCCAGATAGACCAGGTCCTTCAGACCCGGGGGTTTGTGCTCGGGGTTGTAGGGCTTCAGCTGGAAGTTGTACCTGTGCCGGCGCCCTAGGCCCTCCCGATGGGCGTGGACGGAGTTGCTGGCGGAGTTGCTGATGATCGCGTTGCTGTTGGCCCGTGCCCGGTCGGAGTTGCTCACCATGACGCGGGACGCTCCGTCGAACCGGTCCTTCAGGTTGTCGCCGACTACCCTGAAGTTCGGCAGCCTCATCCAGCAGGTTTTCACGGTGCACGAGCCCGACATCCCGTGGCACTTGCACTCCTGCCGCATCTCCGACGAGACGTGCTGTTGACAGATATCGACGAGTCCCATATCATTTTCGAGCGCCCTCGTCCACGTGACACGGCAAAAACCGAACAGCCGGGTGGGCTTTTTGCCTCCACCGGAGACGGGCAGCGATCGACGCTTCAATAATGCACGAGAGGAAACTGGGGCCCCGAAATCGGGCAGCCTTTTTGCCGATGGGTCCTACCGACTTAGAAGGGAACTCCGGGTCGGGGAAGGACCCTTTTCGGCGACTCCACCAGGACGGATCTCGAGAGCAAGATTGGGTGGTCCAAGCTATCGAGCCCCTTATCAGCTTCCCTTGAGATCCGCCCTGGCGAATCCAGAAACTACCGTCAAACCCCTTCAACATCCTCCCATTCAGCGTACCATGGCTGCCCTTAAGTCAAGCTTCCTCGGTTTTTCACATCTCCTTAAGGGGACGTGAAAGTGGCATCCGAGTAGTCAACCGTTCACGAAACTTTCCCCCGAACCGGATGCAGCGAATCGTTTCAAACCTTACACTATGAACACGAAGACCACCAGGAAGGTCTCGACCACCCATGAAACTTCACTTTTTATAGGAAATTTTTAAAACGGCTGTGAACAAGTTTTAAAAAAATTGATATTACATGGGTCTCGAGACCTTTCCTACAGCTTCCATATCATATTCTAAATTTCGAAACGATTCGAAAGAAAGTTTCACGAAGGGGACCCCGGACGCCATTTCCACGTCGCCTTAATCTAGGCGCCTCCAACTTACCGCTCTCCCAGCCTCGTTGTTGTGCAGGTTCATCTTCTCCCTGAGGTTCCTCCCGCGTTCCCCGGTGTCCACAAACTCCCTGGAGAACTTGAAGCCGTACCCAATGTTGTCCGAGCACCCACCCCATTCCCAGTCCCTAACAGCCGAAGGAGGTCTGGACTGATGAGTGTAATCGCAACTGCAGGACTGGATGCTGCCCTCGCTGCAAGCCCTGGCGATGCTGTGCGTCACCGCTGCACTGGTGATGGCGTAGATGAACGCAGTCTCCCGGCACCCTGGAACAGCCATGAAAAAAAAAGCTGGATAAGAGACGACGCCCAACGAACTGGTGCACGACCGGGATGTCTCCCAGGCATCGCGTTCTTCAAAAGACGAGCCCGCCACACGGCAGCCGGCGATAAACGACCAATAAACCACCGATCCCGATAAATACGACATTAACGTAGCAGCGCTCTTAGTCCCAGGGTCCGCTAAAAGCCCCCAACAAAATTTTTACGGCCCGTTTTACCCGTGTCCCGTGATTCCGGGGCGGTCCCGGAGAGCCTCTTCGGCGGGTGGTCTAGCCAGGGTGGATCGGCGGGAGGGGGAAAGGGGCTAATTTTTTGTCCAGTCAAACTATTAAAAAGATCCCGTTAATTACGCGAGATTATGCTTTACGAGCACATTACGAGGGCCTTTTATAGGGCCGCCCTGACACCTATTGACCGTCCCCTCTGGCGATGGCCTTGACCCCGAGGAAAACTGCCACGCGGGCAATTAGTTGCGGCCTTGACCCCGGAAGATCGATCACGACGGCGTGATTAGAGGTCGCAGGGAGCCGGGGGAGGGGGGAAGGGGGAGGGGGCGACCAGGACGAGGTCGGTGCAACAGGTGCACCTGGCCCGGTCAAAAGATTCCCAAGTGGCGCGTGGGAGGTGACGTCGGAACGTCTCAATCCCCCTGGGACTACCTGCGGGCCCCGAGCGCCGCAGGTGAAGGGGCCCCCTAACCCCGGCCTCCCCCACCATCGGTGACCCCGGCACCTCGACCTTATCTGCATAAGGCGCAGGTGCCTACCGGCACCTTTGTGCCGGCCGTAGTAAAGATATCAGAGGCCGGGCCCGACTTGGGCGGACCTTAAGGCGCTGAGAACGAGTTTCGGGACCTGCGACCTCGGGCCCTGGCTCCCCCTGCCTTCCCCTGAGGCCTCCTCGCTGGTCCCGACTCCCCTGGGCCCCCCGGAGAGACTCTCCCGCGCGAAAACTCGATACGGCGCGGAAAACCGCGTCTCGATTCCACTCGACCGAGTCTCGCGCCATATACATACACGCGCGCGCCTCAAGGCCGCCGAGTTTCTTTACGCGGACGCGGCCTCGGGGAAAAGTTAGACCCCCGCTGTCTCGTGATGCCCCACGTTACGGTCCTTATTCCTGGGGAGTTTGGGCGCGATTTTCGACGCCCAATGACGAAGTGAGACGTCTGGAGGGATTTTCTTAGGGCGTCGAGCGTGGCTGATCTCCCGAGGAGGATGCGTATTCGTTACGAGTCTTTTCAGCGACTTTTGGAGTCCGTCCTCTTCCTTCTTTTGCCGATTTGCCTCGGGAAGGCCGAAGGGGCTGCTTTCCCTAATCCTGGGACAAAGTACCAGGGAACGGAAGCGGGCACCGCCGGGGGGCCCCGCGGAAAGGGAGCCACGAGATTTACAGCGCCGTTACACTCGATTACGGGGGGACACCTCGCGCATCCCGGGACCCCTTAAATTCGATTGGTTCCAGATATTATTTGTCATCATGGCGAACTGGCGTGACGGACCGGCTTATCCCGGGATGACCGGGACGAGGTGAGATCGCGGACCGGGCTTAACGCCCGCTGCGAAAACGTGTCAGCCATTAAGAAAACACGCCTTCGTTCTTTGGGGGGTCCCCTTCTCGAAAGTCGCGCAGAAGTTCAAGGAATTGCAGGAAACCTTAGGAAGTAATGAAGAAAGAAAGACATATTTTTTTTAAATGTGCTCACGATGAAATCTCAAAGTTGCGCGATGAAAACGGGTTAGAGTCGACTTTTAAGGGGCTCTACCAATGCGAACGTCGAAAGAATTACACATTTTTCACAATTTCTTGTCTCAAAAAGTACTGCACATAATGGCACGAACATTTCTTTCCTCGTGAACGGCCTAACGTAGGAGAATATAGAGAAATTTTTCTTTCTAGTAAAAAATACACATTTATTTATTTATCATTACAAACGTAGGGTAGTGAAAAAAAGAGAAACAAAAACATTGTTTGCACCTGGCGCAGGTGATTTCTCAAAAACGGCTGGACCGATCGGGTTCAAATTTTAGTACCATGTTCAGTAAACACATGGCCATTGGCTGTACCTGAATCATGGTAAAATGTTAATTTTAACTCATACTTTCGCCTCCAAAATCTGTAATTCTTTCGACGTTCACAGTGGTATAGTCTCTTAAGGGGAAGTTGGTGCCCTTTTTTTGTCTCCATTCTGAGTGATTGGGGAGAATAAAAGGTGACGACGAGTAATTCCCAGCGTATCCCCTTGCGTTTACTCACGTAGGAAGAGAGGATTACTCGTTTCCGAGAGAAAGAGAGGGAGAGCCGGTGAAGTCATCGACACGAGGCTCGTAAAAAGAGATCGCGCGAGCCCGTCAAACTAATCGGCCGCGAGATGGCGCGCCGGTTCGGCTTTCCCGCGAGCGGGCTAACCTCTCGCGGGGTACAAGAGCTTCGTCGTTTTACGATCGTCAAACAGGGCCGAGATAACGCGGCCTGCCCGAGGAATCGTTATCGGTCGTCTCCGAGAAGGGAACACCGGGTGGAAGCGCTCAATAAATAATCCCTTCGCGTTTCTGGCATTCCCCCGAGAGGCCGCGATAAATAGTTACGCTTATCGGTCCGTGTACGGTGAAGGTGTAACTGGACCGTGGAGAGAGAAGAGAGGTATAAAAAGAGAAGAACGCGCCAAGCAAGAAGAACGAAGAGAAACACGCGTTTGCTAATTATTTTAAGGCTTTTCCTATGTAAATTGTAGAAATTAAAATCTGTTTGAGAAATAATGATGCGTTGTCATTGGGGTTGATTTTTTGACGATGATACGACGGGGATTGGACAAATTTCGGCCGAGATTAAAACGGGATTTGGGGAGCGGCTCGAAACCGGTGCCGAGGCAAAAGGGGATCGGTCGCGTTCCGATTTAGCGCGACCTCCCTAGAGCAGGCCTGTCGTTAGGTTATGGCAACGGAGAGCAAGTAGCGCCAAGTAGAGCGACGTCGAGAGACTTTTGAGCTGTTCTGTAGTCGGAACGAGTCCTCGGACTCGTTCGACCGCGAGATCGCCCTAAGCGACATCGCGACGCAACTTTACGAGAGGCATTTGCGTCAAGCTGAAATTCCACGGAGATAAAATCGCTGGAAATTATTGCTACCGCCGCCCCGACCCCCGGCATCCACCCCGAGGACCTTCCCGTATCCTCCGAGCCCCCGCCGATCTCCTAACCTCACTTCCTAACCTCCGATTCGCTTCCGAACAAAGAAACCCAACTAACCCTCGACCAGACTGCGAAAGCGTCCACCTCGGGATTTCAAATCGACGTAACGGCCAAGAAAAACCGACAAACGTCCCGAATTGACTGCGGAGTCCTGCGAAGACGAGGGAGAGAACGTGAAAATAGTAAGAAACCTTGCGAGAAGCGCGGGGAATGAAAGAGAGAAAAAAGAAAAAAAAGGGGAATCTTCGCGAGACTCCGGAAACGCGCAGTTTGGACCCGTCCAAGATGGCGGCCGACGACGCGGAGGAAGGCGGAACTGGTCCGGGCCTTGCAGGGACCGCTCGGAGGAAGCAAACAAGATGTAAAAATGTCCGTTAAGGCCTCTTGAGTCGCGGCTCACGTTTTCGCAAGAAACCGTGGCGTGCCGTCGACACATGTAGCCCATCATAGGCCGCGATTTATGGGAGCGTAACGCCATAGCAAAAAGCTGACGCGCGCCATATAAGCAGCGACCCGTAGGCCCGACGGGCATTGATTGAATTTATCCTATAAACGGCCGATCATATACGTCGCGCGACATGGATCCCCGGGGGGATGGGGCCCTTGGAACGTGGGCCCTAATGAAGACGTGATTAGAAATGACAACGAGCCCATTTTGCGCCTCAAAGAACGAGGCTCTCGCGCCCTCGCCGAGGAACGAGTTCGCCATTTCGACCGTTCTTCGCCCCTGTTCTTCCTCGCAGGCATTTGGCACCGACTCGGCCTCCCTTCCGCCCCTGTTCCCTGACCTCGCTCAATCCCGTCGAAACGTGAAATAATGACGTGTACGATATAATAAAAAGCGTACACTCACCTCATTCACTTTTCCCTCTCCCTTCTTCCACCCCTGGAGACCTCACCTCTAAAAAGCCCATCCTAACCGAAGATAATGGCAAGTAATGATATAATAAAAAAAAATCTGCATTTCATTTCGTGACCCTCCACTCTCCCTTTTTCCATCCCCTTTGGCCCAACCTCGCTCAATTCCACCGAAAGAAAAGATAACGCCATGTAATAGTACAATAAAAATTATGCAAAATTGTTCATTCTACTCTGTGACTCTTTAAGGGATTATATGCAGCTGTCAAAGGCAAAAATCAAGAATTTCTTTTCCATAACTAAAATGCATCTTTCAATCGAAAACAGAGCGTGAAACTCGTTTTTAACTTCTTCCGACCTAACCTCCCACAATAACGCATAGAAACATAGAACAACGCAAGGTGTAATAGTGCAATAAAGCCAGTGCGTTCAACTCAATCCCCCTTTTTACAGCTTACATAACTCCTGTTTACCTCACCACGCAAAATCCCGTGAAAACGTGGAATAATTACGCTTAACGGTATAATAAAAAGTGCAAACCTGCCCATTGACTTTTCACTCCCCCTTTTTATTACACCCAATCTGGGATATCCAATAATGACGGGCTATTAAAATTTAATAATTGTACGATGAAATCACCCTCGTGTTTTCGATTAAAAAATGCACTTTACTTATGAAAAAAAAAATCCTGAATTTCACCTATGACAACTGCATATACCCCCTTAACACGTTTCTAACTTCTTCCGACCTGACCTCCCTCAATGCCGCATAGAAACATAGAACAACGCAAGGTGTAATAGTGCAATAAAACCAGTGCATTCAACTCATTCCCCCTTTTTACAGCTTACATAACTCCTGTTTACCTCGCCACGCAAAATCCCGTGAAAACGTGGAATAATTACGCTTAACGGTATAATAAAAAGTGCAGACCTGCACATTGACTTTTCACTCCCCCTTTTTATTACACCCAATCTGGGATACCCGATAATGGCGGGCTCAAAAGAGGACCCACGACATCGGCGATTACCCGAGGAGGTCCTCTTCCACGGAGGGACGTCGCAAGGTGCGCACCTTTAGGTGGGACGGGGTGCAATGGCGTGCGTCGGTGAGTGCATCGGTGAGTACATCGGTGAGTGCATCGGCGCGGTAGGTGGCTCTTGGCGGCAAAATGATTACAGGCCGGGAACGCACTCACTACCAGCTGTAATACCGGGTACAGCTCGCGCAAAGAGTAGCCCTCCATACTCTAGGTGCCTTTTGCAGATTCTGCCGATTGCTTAATGGCGATCCCCGATTAGGCGGACGCCTAATCCGGTCTGCACAACTAATCGCTCTTGCCCGTTTATTTCAGATTGATGAGACGCGTTTTGTCCAGGTGTCGTCGAGCCCGGATGAAAGCGAAAGCGAACGCGACCTGGCGCATCTTATCAATCTCGTGATCTCTAAAAAAAAAAGCCACGCGAGTTGGTACAACTCCGAAAAGTCAGGCGATGTAACATTAAAAAATTCACCACTTACTGAAATCATGAGTCCCCCCATATCCGAATTAACCCCGGCCGCAATAACCAGTTTACTAATTCAAATAATTCCTCAACTTGCGTGAATAAAGTTGTCTCACAATGACGTCTACTTCAATACACGCCTTTTCATAAATTTTGACAAGGGAACATTGAGGAGTCACGCACGTGACGGAACAACTTCATAAAAATTTATGAAGTTGTCTCGTCCACATCTGAATTAACCCCGGCTCAATAAATAGTTCACTAATTCAAATCATCCCTCAAATTGCATGAAACAAAATTAAGTCTTACAATAATGTCTACTTAAATACACGCCTCTTCCTAAATTTTGACAAGGGAAGTGGGACCATTTCCAGTGAATTTCCAGTGGAGGAGGGGTCGTTTAATGAGGAACAAGGGAATATTAGGGAGTTACGCATGTGACGGGACAATTTCATACATTTTTATGGGAATCTTTTAAGTGTAATCATTGTCTAGGGACTTCGAAATGACGAGGAGAGGTCGTTTAATCCGGAACACGGGCGTGGAAATCACGAGAGGGGGTCCCGGATATCCACATCTCCGGCCTGACAAATCGAAGACGGCGCAGGATTAATGGTCCTTCGCGCAGGACTAATTGTCCACCCTGGGGATCGAGGGCCGAACGATTTGGTCCCGTTTTGTCAGTGACATCCGTAGCCGAATGGCCAATCCGTCAAGTTGTCGCCCGTCAGGCCCCAAAACCAAAAGATAGGTGGGGCCCCATGTACCCGCGGCCTTACACAGGGAATACACCCCAAGTCCGGTTGATACTCTTCAGGCCCCCCATGAAACGAATCCGCCATTAGCAGGGCTCTTTTTGCTCCTAATCGTTCGCTCCCGGGTCCTGGCTAAACAAGGCAGTCCCATTTTGTCAATGACGCTCTGGGCCCGATCGACGATCCGTCAAATCTCGCCCATAAGGGCCCGCGCCAGATTTAAAGGACCCCTGACCTACCGCAACAGAACAATCCCCTCTGGCTCCCTTATCTTATGCCCGAAAAAATGCGATACCCTTAGGAAAATCCAAAACCACAGTTCACCCCCACCTTTCGAATTCCTCCCTTCCGTTCGCAAATCGAGAATTCGTAAAACTCCCACAAGGGCGATTTAAATATAAAAATTCGAGGAGCTGGAAATTCAAGAATCTGGTCCACAGATTTTCATGGAAAAAAATCTGTTCGCCATGACCGAAGAGGGTCCAGGGTCGTTAGATAGGGAATGGGGTGAGGAGGGGTGCTTCTTCGAGGGGAAAAAAAAATCGGCGCAAAACGTTATACCAGATAAGAGGATCTGATAACGCGATGGAGTGGGGACAATAGAGGAGCCAGGGGGGCAGGGATTTTCGCGGGGCCATTCGGGAGCCGATCTTGAGGGCCCCTGGGGCACGTGCCACCACCGGGGCCAGATGTATGTTTTGCAACCTGATAATGGACCCCCTGCGCCCTGGCGGCTCCCCTGTCGCTCTTTCAGATCTCCGCGAGCCGATTGTAAGCCGAGCTTTTTTCGCCGGACCAGGTCGGCGTAAACACAAAGGGTTACAGCCCCTTCGCCACCCCTTTCGTCCCCATATGGCCACTTAAGTACGACGAAAAAAAGGCCACCACGCTCATTTCGCGGCGCTCCCAGGGGCGGATCATGGGACCCTCCCCTGGCCGGAAATCTCGTGATTCCGCGACGCGAAACGCAAGCGTTGCACTTATTTAATGGACTCCCTTGTTTTTCTTTTCTTTTTTTGCACAAAATGTGAAACATTTACTTTCCAAGATATTAATCCCTTGTGGCGATCCCAATGTTTCTCGAGGGAAGAAATTTCCTCGGTGAAATTGATTCCTGATAAGAAATCACTATTGCAATGTCAAGTTAGGATTAACTGACAATGATTTCCCGAAAAGGGTACCACGTACAAAATTGGTCTCGAGTATAGAAATTATGAAGGAAAGTTATGTCACGTTTGGAATAGAATTAAACTCCAGCAACTCAGTACTTTTTATAAAAAAAAAAAAGAAAGAAAAACTTGTTAACGAATAAAAGAATATATGAAGGCGATGCAAGGGGAGCTTAAGAAAATGGAGAATCGTTTATAATTTGCCTCAACTTCATTTCTGTCTTATTTTCTTATTTTGTCAATAGCGGCAAGTGAAGATCCATTCGACCAAAGAATGCTTTTTCTTTTTATTTGGATGTGATTTCTTCGCTCAGCGTTCAAGGGGTGGAATCGCTCTTGAAGGGAGGCTTGGGTCCCAACAATGGGAAGCTACCGGTTCTCCCTAGGGATCCCCTTTATTAGCCGGCTAATGACGGATGGTTAGGCCGAAACCGGATGGGTTTCCGGTACTTTGTAACCGGCGACGAGCACCCTCGATTAGCACCCTTAAGGAATAACCCGATACACCGGGACGGGACGAGAAAGATTCAAGAGGAAACCCGATATTCCCGCTCTTCTGCTTCCTGTCGACGCTCGAGCCGCGAGAGGACTCCCGAAAAATCTAAATAAACCGCCGGAATTATTCACACCCTGAAGAGCCCACTCATCGTGTCCCAGTTCCCAAAGTTCCTAAATTTCAGGATTCTCCTCCAGTAAAATTGGATCTCGCGCAAACATAATAATGATATGGAACGATCATTCTATACATATAAAACGTCAAAATATAAAATGTCAAAATATAAAACGTCAAAATATAAAACGTCAACATATAAAACGTCAAAATATAAAACGTCAAAATATAAAACATCAAAATATAAAACTTTTCTCCAAACTGGATGCCTCTAAATTCTTGACACTTCACGCGTGATTATGAAAGCCCTAAGGAAGACGGTGGTGCATATGACGTTTTATTTCCACTAAAAAAATTGTTTACTCATCCGAGACTAGAACCAAAATTACAGTTTTTGTGAAAAATGAAGTATCACGAGCACCTCGTTCTTCCTTAGATTTTTTTTTATAATCACGTGCTGAGGTTTCACATGATTCGGTACGCCCAATTTGGAGAAAGATTTTATAATTATTTTGACGGTTTATACATAGAATGACCCTTTCGTATCAGCTTAAAGGGTGAATGTGAGTCAATTTCGTAAGGGTGGATAGGACTTGAACTCACCCCGGTCGACGATCTTCCCGAAGAGGTTCTTCCCCCTAAGGAAGTTCTTCGTCGAGCAGTTCCACCTTCTGTTCCGGAACTGGTGTTGGCACTCCACAATGGCCTGGTTGGCTCCTCTGGCCACGGCCATCAAAACTCCTGGATTCTCCCGGGCTAACCTGCGTTGTTTCCTCCTCAGAGTCGCATAAACCGTGGGGTCCATGTGCAGGGACGCTGGAGACATCGGCAGCAGGTTGTTCGGCTCTCCGGCTTTGGCAATCCCCCTTTAATCAGAAATAAAAATTCATAAATAAAGGTAAATAAGAGAGCCCTCAAAATGCCTTACTCCATGAACCTCTTACGAGCTTAATTCGATATCTGCCATGTACTTCAGGAAGGATCTTCTGGAAATAGCTGGAGGATATTCAGACCTTAGAAGGCGATCCTCCGGAAGGGAGCGAGACAGAGATAGGCATCGTCACCGAAATACGTTTCACGTTTGGCAAACATTTCCCAGGCGAATAAACAGCTCGAAGAAGGACTCGAGGATGAATGCCGTCAGTCAGTCGTGTCGGGGTCGCTTAACACGGCACAATAAACATTTATTTTAATCGTCCCGCGATCTCTGTCGACGTCCGTCATCTTCAGCCGAGATGTCCCCCTGGGCCCCGAAGACGGGTTTATTTTCGAGTCCCCAGACGCCGAGCACGAGCGCCGGAGTTCGCCCAACACAAAGGAGGGACCCTGGAAAGATGACCCTAATTGTACTTTGAATTCATAAATACTCGTAGGAGAGCACTCCATTTTTCCGGGTAATTGTGAAGGGATGTAACGGATGAGACAATCTTCCGCCCTTAATCCCTCCTGGGACGATTTAATCATGAAAATTGTAAGGGATGCTATACAAATCAAAAACGAACTAGACTCGTCATTTCATCGCAAAGGGTTAAGCGAGACCCTGAAGAGGCTCAGGAGGAAATCTCAAACGTGGAGACAATTTTCCGCCCTTAACCCCTTTCGAGACGATTTAATCATGAAAATTGTAAAGGATGGCATGCAAATCAATGACGAGCTAGACTCGTCATTTTACCGCGAAGGGTTAAGCGATACCCTGAAGAGGCTCAGGGGGAAATCTCAAACGTGGAGACAATCTTCCGTCGTTAACCCCTTCCAGGACGATTTAATCATGAAAATTGTAAGGGATGGCATGCAAATCAATTACGAACTAGACTCGTCACTTTACCGCGAAGGGTTAAGCGAGACCCTGAAGAGGCTCGAGAGGAAATCTCAAAAGTGGACGCGGAGGTCTCGGTCGAGCCCTGCGGAGCACCTCCGCCTCTGTCCTCGCTTTCTTAATGGTTCACCTCGATGCTTTATGGAGTCGTTCGATTTTTTTACGGCCCCCCCGGCGCCCCGCGCAACCCCTGCACTTTCGCGAGCGCACATGCACATTGCGCAGCGTGCACGTGCAAGAAGGGCACACCCACGCAGCCGTCGAGGCCTCTAAGCCGTGTAAACTCCGGTCCGCAGGGTTAGACCCGTTGTACCGCCTTTATGCATGGCTTGTGCCGTGCATTCAATAAGTGATGTCCATAAATAAGAGGCCGCGGGACCGGTTAGGGATATCGCCGGTAATTTACGTCGCCCAGAAAATCCGAGGCGTCCCACGGGGCGCCCCTGCCCGCAACCCCCGTGGGAAAGACGGGCCCTTTTTCTCCCCGCCTGCCGGAAAGATCGGCAAACCGAAGAAACGGTTAATTTTACGAGGAAGACCGAAAATTAACCTCGCGATCGCGTAAAGAGACTCGGCCGCCAAGAGCACTCGCGCGGGCGAACTTGTCGCGAAACTCAGCCTCGATCGGGGGGCTCGATGGACTCCGTCTCGTCCAATCGGTCCCGGATAAAGTCTTTCGCTTCCTCCTTGCTGGACAGATCGCCGAAAGAAAAACGGTGTATTTTCCAAACAAACTCAAAGATTAACCTCGCAATCGGGTAAAGGGAGAAAAAACGGTGTATTTTGAAAACGAGCTCGAAAATTAACCGTGCAATCGCGTAAAGAGAGAAAATAAACGGTGTATTTTCCAAACAAGCTCGAAAATTGACCTCGCAATCGCATAAAGAGATTAAAAAATGATGTATTTTCCAAACAAGCTCGAAAATTAACCTCGCAATCGCGTAAAGAGACTCGGCGCCAAGAGGGCTCGCGCGAGTGAGCTTGTCGCGTAACTCAGTCGCAACTCGGGGCCTCCTTGATCGACTTCGCCTCGTCCAATCGGCCCCGGACAAAAAAATCCCCGGGAAAAGAAGACGAGGCGGAATCGCCGACGCACATGTTGACGACCGATCGCCGACGGGTTGCCATCGATCAGCGAGAATTCGATCGGCCTCCGAAGCGGTACCGTGAGATTACCGCCGATCGTGTCTCGCATAAAGGTGAATCCGCATCGCGGCAATTTATCGGCCGTCGGGGACCTAGCCGCGGAATACCGCCCGTTTGCGGATTCCGCCTGAAAAAGACGTCCCGGCCGACGTACGCCCGTCTGATTCACGACCCTGTCATCCGGGATGCGGTAGTCCTGTCGGAAATGACGGGACGTCATCGCTCAGTCCCGAGAAAGAGCCACCGTCGCCCCCTCGCCCCGGGTGATACCTTATCGCCGCCGAAATTTCAAATTAAAAAAATAAATAAAATGTTAACCCATTAACACTTTACCCACGCAATACCGGGTCAATTTCAGTACTTTCGTCTGCAACAAATAACGCAAGGATTTCTCAAAATTACACACAGATCTTCATCCTTATTACATACACGTAATCTCTATGACGTCGACGTTAAGGTGTTAGATGCCCCCTATTCCCACTATTTTAATACGGATCCAACCACTTTGATAGAAAAAAAAGAGAAAAAGAACTTAACCGTAAGATGTCAAATTTTTCCACAGTTCTCAAACAGCTCAGCCTCGAGTTTTATTTTTAATTTACCTTTCATGATTAATTTCAGTGGATCTTTTATACTGAATTTCGACGGATTACGGAGGTTCGCATTAGGTGGTCTCGAGATTTTTCCGGGATTTCTGTCGATTTTCCGCCAACATTGGCCAAAGAGAATTAACGCGAGCAAAACTATTATTTTTTATTTAATTATCTCTCGTGATTAATCTGAGGAGAGCCGTTATCTTTTATACTGAATTTCTTCGGATTACGAAGGTTTGCGTTAGGTGATGTCTCGAGATTTTTCCGGGATTCCAGTCGATTTTCCGCCAACATTGGCCGAGGAGCGAAAGTCGACGCGACTCGTCAAGGCAACCGGCGCTCGCCTGGCCGTCGGTAATTGTTTCCCGATCGTTTCCCCGATTGTCGGCCGCGATCGCTCTCGCCGATTGTTTCGCCAACGAGGAGATATCAATCGGGCCTCTCGAGTCGCGTGCCCGGGGCCTCTTTGGAAATCCTTCGAGGAAATCGCGTGGGAATTCTCGCCGTCGGCCGACACGTCGGTCTCGGCAAATTGCGACCGATTGCGGTCGTTAAGACCGACACGCACCGGAAAAGTGGAAACCCATTAAAAGATATCAATTCCTCGACACTTCGAAAAATCGATATCACGGTGTAACGTCAATTGTCAAGGTTTCACACAAAATCATAATTACTTCTCGTAGTTTCATCCCGTTTCTTGTTCGGCCTTTAACCACGGAGGGACAAACACTGACCTGGCACAACGAAAAATCGTCAACACGTTGTAATATCAATTGTCAAGGTTTGTCGAATATTTTAATTACTTCTCGTCATTTCATCCCGTTTCTTGTTTAGTCTTTAACCACGGAGGGACGAACACTGACCTGGCGCAACGATAAATCGACAACACGTTGTAATATCAATTGTCAAGGTTTGTCGAATATTTTAATTACTTCTCGTCGTTCCATACCGTGTCTTGTTCGGTCTTTAACCACGGAGTGATGAACAATCGACAACGCGTTGTAATATCAATTTTCAAGGTTTCTTGCAAAACTTTAATCACACCTCGTCGTTTCATCCCGTTTCTTGTTCGGTCTTTAACCACGGAGCGACGAACACTGACCTGGCGCAACATCCGAGAGCGTGGGGCACGCGCCTTGAAAGAAACGTTTGCTCCCTTTCATCCTTGATTTTATCTCCCCAAGACATGTCGTTAAAATGCCTTCTCGCGCGAATGATGGTTATGAATCTGGTTACATTGCTCTCCAGCGAAGAGGGAGGCAAGAGAAGAGTGATTAGGAAGACCGCGACAAGAGTCAGAGACGCGTTTTTTAATAAGGGTTTTCAAGTGCAAGTAAACACACAGTAATTGCATTAAACATTAAGGCTGAGACTCATTCCTTACCTGTATCGTTAAAAGACACCTTTTAGCGATTTAAAGGCCGTACATAAAAATAGCGTTTTAACGCTGAAATTGCGGTACCAGTATGGACCTAAGTCAGGTCGCAACCCAAAAATCCAACATTCGAGAAACCGCACGCGTCTTAAAAGAAACATTTCTTTCGTTTCATTCTTGACATTACCTTTCTAGGACATGTCGTTAAAACGCCTCCTATCGAACGATGGTCATGAATTTTTTACATTGCTCCACCGAATAGAAGAGTGATTGGGAAGGGCGCGACAATAGACGGAGACGCGTTTTATGTTAAGGGTTTTCGAATCCGAGGAAACACGCGAGTTTCGTTAAACATTAAGGCTGGGACTCATACCTCGGTAAGATCGATAAGAAACATTTAAGCCATTCAAAGAAAAAATATAAAAATTGTCACCGTTTGAAATATCATACAAATTAGGATCAAAGCCAGGCTGTACCCCAAAGTGTCACGCATCGAGCAAGCAGCAAATACTTAAAAAAAAGCAATTTAATTCCCTATACGTTTACGTACATCTATGTACATTGGATAGGCATTCGTATCAATAACTACTGAACCGCTTGTCAATGGAAATGCTCGTTGCGTGTATCTTTCTCGTCCCACTTGACTAGAGAGTAAGACTCTAAAGGTTTGTTCGTTTTACCTACACTTTTAACACTTTTACGAAAATGATACACTTTGGCGTTGGTTTTGACGGAAGGGACGCAGACGTCGCTGTTCGTTTTGCACGGGCATCTACCCCGAGGGTAGACTTTCTCTACACTTTCTACCCTCGATCCCGAGCTAGTGCAAGATGTTATAAAAGGTGTAGGCGGTGAATTCGGCGGCAAGTTTGAAAATTGAAAAGACCAAGAAACAGGAAAGTACAAAGTTTGTCCGAAGATCTCAAGGTAATATAAATAGAAACAATGATCAATACACGTTCTTCGCGTATAAAACGATTTAGCGTTTTAATTTTCTACGTAATCTTTGAAATATTGTACAATCATTATTTGTTGCAAATGATGTATTGACTTGCAGTTTCTTTATTTACAATTATTATGTATTACTGCATAATGTATGATCCCTATCATCATCATTTGCTAAAAGATGTAATGGAGGAAGCGTTACGTCTTCATTTATATCATCGTCCGATTCGAATCCATTATCGCATACCGTCCCGCTAAATCGGTCATCTTGTACTTTCTTGAGCTTTCCGGCGTTCGGGACGTCGACGAAAGTGTATTTACCCTTCAGCACCTTTTAAGAAGAGTCTAGTACCCTCGTTACCCTCGAGGGTAGAACGTGTAGAGAACACGAACAAACCTTAATACCAGGGGGTCAACTCACCACCACATAGATCCTCGACCTCTGTTCTTGTTCCTGTTGACTTCGGCGGGCATAGCGGGCACGGCCATGGCCAGGGCCCCCAGCAAGACCCAGATCTTCATCCTGGCTTCCAGAGCGTGGACCTCCCCAGGGCCCGGCACCGATCACCAAGCACTCCCCGCCCAGTCGTCAACCCAACATATCACTTCAAGCTCTTCGGGGTGTCCCGAACCTCCCAGCTGTGGCAGGGTCAGTGCATGTCCAAGTTTCGCGACTAGACCAACGGCAAGGTCCGGGGCCCAAGTAATGTCAAGGTTTAAAGCCCAAGTAACGTCAAAGTTTTAAGGCCCAAGTAACGTCAAAGTTTTGAGGCCCAAGTAACGTCAAGGTTCGAGGCTGAAGTAACTTCAAGGTTTCGGGTCCAACCAACCCCAAGATTCGGGGCCCAACTAACTGCAAGGTTCTCGACCAGCAGGAACGTGGGGGCCCAAAGTCGTGGACAGGTCCAGACGCAGGTTGTCCCGGAGGTTGGTCGAAGGATGTCGGTCCAGCGAAGCCGGGCCCGAGTCCAGAACTGCGGGAGTCTCGGCCGAGCCGGTCAGCCGGGGGAGATCACCCCTTGCGGGTCACCGGGCGGGGGTGTGCCCCGTGCACCCCCTCGGAAGTGGTGGGGGGCCCAGGGGTGCCAACCCCGGCCGGCGGGCGCAGGTAGCCAGCAGGTAGGGCGCAGGTGCGAGGCCTCGCCAGGGTGGGGACCGGCCACCCCGGACGCCTGCGACGGGCCCGACGGGCCCCGGGATGCTCTCGGGGTGTCCTAGACACCCCGGCACTCGGACTCGGTCTTTGGCGCGATCTCGACCCGGGTCCGATACCCCTCGACGGACAAGTATAGGCCTCGGCTAAGCGACTGCACGAGGAACTCCAGGACGGGAACCGATCTCTCTCGGCGCCCCATCCCTCCACCCGGGCCGCCGGCCCGGGGCCCCGAGGACGATTAAGTCTCGCCCCGCCTCCCCGGCCCGGTCCCCACCGCCCGGACCCTCGCCTCCCCCCACTCCGGGGCGCCTCCTTCCCTGCACTCCGACCGGGCCCCGACCGGCTGGGCGGGAATTCCGAGCCCGGGCGCTTATCACCCGATAACGATGCCCTATCGACTTGCGCGAGCGAGCGTCTCCCAGAAAATAATATCCATTTCTCCCGAAACCTAAGGTCTGTTCGCGTTGCTGCACTTTCTACCCTCGAGGGTAACGAGGGTACCAGACTTTTCTTGAAAGGTGCGGAAGGGTAGATACGCTTCCATCGACTTCCCGAACACCAGGAAGCTCAAGAAAGTACAAGATGGCCTATTTAGCGAGACAGTATGCGACTTTGGAGCTATTCTAATCGGATGATGATGGAAATAAATACGTAACGCTTCCTCCGTTATGTCTTCTAACAAATGATGATGATAGGGATAATACGTGACGCAGTGATACATAATAATTGTAAATAAATAAACTGCAAATTAATACATAATTTGTAATAAAAACGATTGTACATGTTTTTCAAAGATTACGTAGATAATTAAAACTCTAAATCGTTTTATACACGAAGAACGTGTATTGATCATTGTTTCTATTTATATTACCTTGAGATCTTCGGACAAACTTTGTACTTTCCTGTTTGTTGGTCTTTTCAATTTTCAAACTTGCCGCCGAATTCACGGCCTACGCCTTTTATAACATCTTGCACTAGCTCGGGATCGAGGGTAGAAAGTGTAGAGGAAGTCTACCCTCGGGATAGATGCCCTCGCAAAATGAACAGGGACCTCTGCGTCCCTTCCATCAAATCGAACGCCAAAGTGTACACTTTTCGTAAAAGTGTAGAAAGTGTAGGCGAAACGAACAAACCTCTAATTGTCCACGAAGTCACGTCCAATGGGTTCATGGATAAATTTATAGGGCTTGAGAAAAATATATTTCCCCCAACGAAATTAACCACGTACCGACCAATTTGGCGTGTACTCGCTTCCAGGTACATGCGGAAAGATATTTCGAAAGAAAATTCGCCACAATGGCATTTTGCCCGCGAACTCGCGGGAAGACGTAATAAAAACTTGAATGTTCCTGAATTATGCTCTAGCATGGGAGATAGGCCTCGAGGCCCATTCCATAATTTCTGGCGAAATTCTCATTTTTCGAGTAATTTTAATTTCTTTAAAGGCTCTTAACACATTCGCGACCGCTGACGTGAATTCACGTAATTTTAAATTCTATCTCTGATTGCTGCTGACGTGAATTCACGTCCTCCTTAGTTGGCTCGCTAATTGTTAGCCAGCGCGGCGCACAAATTCTATAATTTTTATCCTTGCTTTAACGATACAAGTTTGCGGCAACCAGTTTCAGAATTTCATTATTTTCCCCGGTACTCAGTATTTGAAAAGGAAAAAATTTGCCGCGAGCAAATGTGTTAATCTCTAATAAAATAGCTCGACACCGAATCGTCGTTTTGTCCGGGTCGCCGATACAGGATCCCCGTTCCTCCTCGCTTCGCGCTTCGTGCCGGCTGGCATCTGTCACAGGGAAGCACGTGGTGCCCTCGGGACCCGGTGGGCGTCCCTCCGGGGGCCACGCCCCCACCCCACCACCCGCTGCCACCACGACTTTTCCCGCAGGGGAATTCCCGGCCTTCTCTCCACCCTTCTGGGTTGCTCTCTCCTCCTCTCCTTCTCTCTTTCCCTCTTTCCCTCTTTCTTCCCTCTTGGCTCCCCTCGTTCCCTTTTCTCCTCCCCGACGTCCCTGCCACCTCCGCCACCTTCGCCCACCTTCCCCCCACCTCTGGACGCGCATTCTGCGCCGGCAGGATGACGAGAACGCGTGAGTCAACCTGGTACCGTGCGGATCTGCGATTTCCGCGTAATTCCTCCGTGGGACCCGCTACGCAAAGTGGATCGTCACTTTGTGATCGCTCCCTTTTTCCGACCATGGGGGCGCTCCATCAAATTCGCTATTCCGACCTCTTCGGTGGGCCCTATGGGCACAAATTCCAGTCGCGTTCTACGCTTTCCAGACTCCTCGACATTAAGAAACTCAGTAGATTTTCGCGCCAAATATATATACATAGAGGCGCGAATCTCAGACCTAGTCATTATCTGCGATGTTCAGCCTGGCGCGTCAAATTGGACAATGAATGTCGTTTTCCGAACCTCTTAAATAAGTAAAGTCAACTAGAACAAGGCCATCAAGATTGGACGATTTTTCTGCGTTTTTCAAGCTACGAACGAAACCGATTGACCCATTAATACAGAGGCATGCATTTTTTAATATCAGGGCGACCGGAAAGTAATATCGTTTTCTTACATTAAATTCATTGCGCAGAAACAACATTACTTGCCGGTCCTTCTAATATTTCACTCTGCTTGGGTCGCTTGAACTTTTCCGACGACCGTCTCGGTGGCACCACGTTTTCTTATTTTCCATGTTTCGGAAGATGGGGGTTAACCCTTATCACTCCAAGAATACTAGATGAATATAAGAAGATGGCAGAATTACTGCCGGTTGGACTGATACGGGTTAATATCTTTATTTTTCGTTATGGCGGTGCTCTATAGGATTCGATATTCCGCTCCCTTCGGTGGGCCTAATAGGCACAAATTCAAGTCGCGTTCTCCCTTTTCCACATTCCTCGATATCTCATTATTTTTCGCGTTTCGGAAGATGGGGGTTAATATCTTCATTTTCCGCCATGGCGGCGCTCTATGGGATTCGATATTCCGCCCTCTTCGGTGGGCCTGGTGGGCGCGAGTTTCGATAGCGCCCTCCATCTTCCAGATTCCTTGATCTCTTTTTCTTCTCCATATTTCGGGAAATGGGAGTTAGCCCCTTACCTTACGATTTAAATTCCAATAGCGCATGCCATAAACAACAAAAGTGTTGGTCATACATCTGGCCATTTCACGGTTTGGCTGAACTATTAAAGTCTCACACGTCTCTCACCCTTTTTGTTCACGTTTGACCCGATTGATATACCACGTCTCTCGTACGATATTGTAAGTTAAGGGGTTAATAAGATCCCTTCATTTCCGCCATGGCGGAAATCTATATCTCCGGGTGGCGCTCGAGTAAGGACTTCTTGTACTCGCTTCTTCCCACCGAGGAAAGCATCTCCGCGAAAGTGGAAGACCTGGCAGGAGAATGCCTATGAGTGGCGGTGAGGCCCATTCGCTGGCGAATCGGCCGCACGCGTTATGGGCCCGTCGTAATTCCCCGCAGCCGGGCGGTGTATTCATTTTTCAGCGGTATCCGCCACTTACCGGACGGCGGAAACGGGCCCTGGAAATTTCTGGAGATCGGTCCGAGCTATTAAAAGTGGAAACGCGCCATTTAAGAGGGAATTGAACAGGGTCGAGGTGCAATTACGCGCGGGAAGGGGCCCGAAGGGGGCAAGGTGGATTAAGCCACGGCGATTATTTATGTCCGACTTAATTTGTCGGCTCACCCTTCTTCCTCAACCTGCGATTATTCACGGTGGTTGAGGTAAGACAACCCGGCGAGATGCAGGGGATGGAGGGGGATGGGGAGGGGGGGCAGGACGAGGAACTTAGGGCCCAAAGAGTGGAGGTGGACCACACGCAGCCTGGCAAAATGGCCGCCCGAGTCTTTTGCCAAGGAATTTCCGTCGTAAGGCCCTTCCAGGAGAGTCGGCAGCCTCCCTCCTTTCCCCTCCCCATCGGACCCCAATGAGATAGGAAGCGCCAAATTAACGGACCAATAAGATCGAGATCTGCCCGGCAGATAGGGCCCCGAAAATCGAAGGCCCCCTCTTTTCTAACTCAAGGGATGCGAGGGGCGTCCTTTATCCTCCTTCCGGAAGGAGGACGTTAGGCCGAATTTTCTGGATGGGCCCTAACAGATGCGGATGCAGCTGGCACGTCCAGCTGCAAAGATCAGGCCCTGTTTCAGGAAAGCCTAATCGAGTCAACCGATAGGGTCGAATAGTTGCGACATATCCCTTTCTACCTTCCTTTCCGCCGTAAGGCTCATAAGGCTCCTGGAAGGCCGAAAACGATGTCTCAACCCCCGTCTCGCACCGAAGCGACTTTTCAAGATGAGTCCCTGATATCGGGCCCAGAAAATTGTTGGGA